TATGAAAAATATCAAAAAGTGTACAACTAATAGTACTGATATGAGAGGTTATCCAGAGTATTAAATAATGACAATGGTACCATATGTTGAGAAGCATATGTCGAAAATAAGTATAATTTTAATATTAATATCAACGAAGTCATCTGAATGAAATCTCATGTATATATTATAAAGATAGTGTACCACAATTTAAATGAAGTTTTGAATGGCAATAATTTATATTTACCTAGCTAAAGTCAATTTAATTCGGACAGATAACTCGGACATATGTTAAATTAAAGCAAATTATAAGTTAACTTAAAAAAAAATTTTCCGAATACCAAAGATAAAAATAACTATTTTTGCATTAAAATTTTTGGATTTTATATTTTAAATTTCAAATTACTATAACTTTTTGAAAAATATTGGAACAACACAAATTTCTTTTTATATATTATATTATATATACACAAAATATTTTTTTAAATGATTTATAAGCTCATTAAGAGCTATAGCGGACTTCCCCAAAGGATGAAGTTTCTAAACCATTGGTATGATACTCCGGGATGTTTGTTAGTCTATCGCCGAAGAGGGATGGCGACTCCAATTACCAAACTGATCTCTCGTTCGGCAAATGAAGCCGCCTGTGACCGAGTTTCGAACCCGTGGTAGTGCGCGTCAAGCACTGCCGCGTTGCTGACTCGGCCACACTTTCCCTCTAAAACATGTAACATGACAAAAGTATTTATTTATTTTTTTCTATTTGTATAATATATATATATTTGTGTTGAGCCGAATGCGGACTGCGACGACGTTTGTCGGTAAAACTATCATGATAAGGTTTGTTTATGCGCGTGCGAGATAGTCAGCTGTGTACTACTTCAGACCGGTTCATGGACGGCATTTTTGTGTACATTCACCCCGCTCCTTTCCCATCTAGAACGTCATTTGCACTGCTCACTGCATACATTGTCGCCTTATGATTTAAATTGTTCTTAGTAATTTCCGGCACTGGGTATTAAGTTTTTTTTTTTTTGACCCCTACTCTATAAGCTAGCCGTGTTGTCGCCAACGGACCGCCGGGTCAAACGTCGGACGTTTTGTCGGGGAATAGCCATAGTCGGAACTGGTCGTACTATTTTCCGTCCGTAGCGGTAGATTTAGTTGTGTGCGCTGAACTTTAATGTTTCTTGTAATATAATTTTGTTTTTCTCATGAGTGCCCGCTATGTAAAAATGTAATTTTTTTTATCACGGCGTCGGTTAAACCTGCCTCCTGTTTCTTTAGCCCTTCGGGGCGGGTAATGTATAATGTTTTTTTTAATGTTTTGAGCCAGTTTTTTTTAGTGCACCATGCCATAAGCACGTGTGGCGAATTTTTTTTATATTTTTTTGTATAGTTTTTTTGTGTAGGTGCCCCTATTTTTTTTATTTTTTTAGGTCCCGCAACTTGCCAGGCGTGTACAAAACCACCTATCATGTTATATCCATATTTTTTTTTATAGGTTTTATATTATATTTTATGAGTAATATGTATATATTATTGTTACAATGTGGTGACGTAGTGCATTTTATTCCGGGGTGTCTCAACGTCTTGCAAGCTAAGCCCAACTGCCTAAAACCAGTCACATACTTGGGGCGTATACCCACCGTGCTTAGCGGTAATGCCGCGATTAATAGCCGGTTGGTACCCGAAGACGTTCATGGTATTCTCTAATAATATAAGTGTAGATGTAACTAGTATTTTTTTTATTAATATCTGTTTTTTTTCTCTCTTTCTTTGTCCCCTTTAATTTTTAGACGAGGCTTTTTGACCATTCGGTTTTTTGCCTCGTAGTAACTTAATTTTTTTTGTTTTTTTTTTTTTACTTAATAAAATCCCCTTAATTTAACTTAACCATCATATTTTTTTTTTTTTTGCGTGTTCCATCTTCAATGGACTCGTGTATTTTTTTCCTTTCAAAAAACATCTCCCCTTAGTTTATAAAGTACGGGCAACGGCCTTGTATAAGGTCATCCCTCATTAATATGGTTATGTCACAACTGTCACGAGGTTTTGGTGTACATCTACTATCAACGACTCAACGGACATCAACTTTAATATTTATTAATTTTATATTTTTGGTTAATTGTTTTAATATACAAAAGTTAATTTTGTTAAAATCCTACTGTGGTCCGATAATACACTGTGTCGCCCAGTAGGTTGGCGACCCTTTTCTTATAATTTTGTAAAACGCCATGAAAGTTACAAATTTTTCATTGCAGCCAATTAGTTTTATTTTTTTTTATATATTTGTAACCTTTCAAAGATTAACAATTATATTTCAAATCGATTAGTTTCTTATTTTATCAATGTAAATGATTACGACCATTCATAATTGATCTTAAAATAAAAAGTATCGTTGAATATTGATTAGTAGAGATGAACATCCACAGTTCGATATTTTAAAAAAATTGATAGTCTCGATGTTCGATATTTTGACCATGGTGTTATAGTCTCGATAGTTTATTAATATCGATAATTTTAAACAATATTTTTGACTGATGCTAGGAACTTTTTAGAAATAATTATTTTTCTTAACACGTCATATTAAAATACAAACTGAAGTTAATTCATTGTGAATCCACTTTGGTACAAGCATCATCTATTGAATTTGAGTAATTTTGAGTGCGTAAAACTTTATTAATTGTGATAAGAATTATGTTTAATACCACAATTCAAAACCATAATCCTATATACCATGCTAAAATTCTTATTAAGTTATCGTTGAAGTTTTTTGTAATTATGTTTTGTACAGGAAGGGTTTCAAAGACATGTAGAAAATTTTTCAACTCAATTTTTGAAGATATTCCGAAATTTTTGAAAACGTTCAATCTTCATCAAATTACAGATCTTGAAACGTTCTTATAATATTTTTATTATACGCTTATACTTGTGTGACGTCGCTATTTAGGGGTTGAGCCTAAATGCCCGTCGACAGTATTCTAAGAGACCAACGGGGGATATCTGGCTAGGCTATATCTACCTTAGGTACTGAAGTTTCCTATTTAATTTATATTCCCTTAGGGGAACTACCAAGTGTCGCACTACAATACAGGGTGATTTTATTATCATAACCCACTCAATTACTTGCAGAATAATAATAATTTAAACATTTTTTTTTTCATTATCTTTAGTTACACATTATTCTTGAATTTTTAACTATGTAATACTTTTTAAGTTCATCCCTTATGCCTTGGAAGGGGGTCAACTTTGTTTTTTTGAATGGTAACACATATTTTTAATTTAATAAAATGTTTGAGTTTTTAATTTTATAGTAAATGACAATTGAATTTTTAATATAACTTAATTCGTTTATTAGATATAATAATTTAAAGTTTCAAATTTTTGAATTAATATACAGATATAATACACAAGGGATTACAAATATAGGTAGCTAATTGGTTTTTTATAACATCGATATTAGCAGGTACACAGCATTGTTATTATCAATTGTAGTAAGGCACATTGTTATGAGTTTATAAATACACTAACTGACAATACAGAAAGTATATCTATTGATAATCATCAATCCGTGACTCGAAATCACCCTGTATAACACTTTTGGTTAACAACGATATAAATAAATATTTATTAAGTAATTGAAATATTAAATAGATAATACAACCGGCTGGACACCTAGAGATGATATAATCCAACAGGAAGCTGACGGCGACACACACACAATATACGGGGTAACAAAGTTAAGTTAATTATCAAACAAAAGTAGTGATCGCGAAGATGATAAAAGGTTAACTCTCGATAAGGATATCTTATTATGGTACATTGGCCATGAATTGCAAAAATGTTTGTGTGTACAGTCCGCCTTCCTGTTAGTATTGTTGTATGTCACTGTGTTAATTATATATATATATATATCTATTAAACGGTACAATGATGTTATGGGAGACAGAGATATGGGTACATGCAAATGTGATCGTATCTTTTGTTAATGAGGTGACAGTCGATTTATTTACTATGGATTTAATGACTCAAAAACATTAAAATCAATCTAATTGACAATGTTATTATAAATAATTAAGAAGATATGATTTATCGATGTTGGACCACTATACCCTAGAAGTTCAAAACCAACACAAGTTTATATTAACAAGAGATGGTAGTCGCACATAATTAAACATTACCGCATACAAAAAAAAACGGTTATTGATTTAATTCGAATTAAGATAGCAGAATTCGGTGTGATAATGCTCAAAAGAGTCGAAAATACGATAGTTCGATTGTTTTTTGCAAACAAAACATAGTAGACACGCAAGAACATAACCAGGTAGAATAGCGTTAAAAGTTAAATAAAGTTAGTGGAAACATAAATAACAACAGTTATTAGTGTCTAGTAAACCAACGAAACGCAATAGTACGCATAACTAGCAATTGACAATCAATAGCCGCTAATATTTAGTGTTATAATATTTACTTTCATACAATGTTCTTCAAATGCACGTGATGCAAATTTAGGATTGGCAGACCAAATTCTGTGATCTAAATACTCATTAGTAAATTTGTTGTGGGTCATTACTTAATTTTTTATAATTAAATTATATTAATTGAATATAAAAACAATTGTAGTTTATGCAGGAATAATAAATCATTTGAGCCAGTAATACTATTAATACAAAATTATAATCCATTTTTTATCCAATTACTGTGATATTTTCTTATTTCAAAAATTTTTATTTACAGAGACGCCCCACAAAATAATATTGAAGTTCCATTGTTATTATTTTCTCAAAAGCTCTTCCTCTTATAAAAAAAAAAACTTTGAAATTCAGTTATTGTTTTAATTATCTAGTTTTATTATTGTATTAGGTAAACTATATTTTAATATAAAAATGATAATTATTTATAATAATAATAAAATTACACTTACAATACATATTTAAGATAAAAAACTTAAATATAAAATATTTACTGTCAAAGAATTACAATTAATCTGTCTATGTTTAGAAAAATAGTTCATATATTAGATGTTAAACAATTTTCATTTTCATTGATTCAAAATATTGGAAGATCTGTAATACACTTGCTCCCAATTTTGTAGATTTGTCGTTCCAAACAATAAAAATGGACCGCTACAAATAATTGGAAAAGCTGAGGCTATGTAAAATGCGAAATCCCAATTGAAACTTTCAATGTAAAAATTTCTAGCCGCTACAATATCAAGAATATTTCCCAAAGAAAAAAACACATCACTTAAGGCTATAAGACTACCAGCAAATTCTAAAAGCATAATCATATTTTAAAATTAAATTATTTCATTTCGGTTCTTTTTAATAACAAAGAAAATTGAGGTTTAAAACTATATGTAGAAGTTATTATTGATAAAATATTAATTTCGTGTATTGTTATTGTCATAATATTAATATAATTTAGAAACTAAATTTTAAAGTTTTAAAAAAAATGATTAGTTTTTTCATATTTTCAAATTCATAAAGCAAAGCAAAATTATCCCTCTTAAACTTTTTTGATTACTTGAAAGATTTTCTTCAGTGAATATAAGAAACGTGATAAAACGTCATATACATGATTTTCCCCAACCCAACTAATATGATATTGCTCACAAAACATATCTAATTGAAGCTATCATAGTTATAATTTTGAAAAAACTCCTCATTCTTTGTAATGAATAGAAATGTTCTAAAAAATTATGGTTGTCATAAAACAATCATTGTTAAAAATTTGTATTTTATATTGAAATATCTTTAATATAAATCATAGTATAAATAAATATGTAACACTTATTGTCTTACTGGCTTACTAGGACATAAATCCAATGAATTTATTCGTATACTATTTCTCTCGAAGGCTAAAAGTGCTATCGATAAATATATACACACTTTCGTTTGAAGAGAATCACACTTAGTTAATCTTATACATAAAACCATCAATGATGATAATATTAGCACTAATCCAGCGTATGTTTTTCTTATTGTAGTTTTTTTTATTCCATTATTTATGGTTAATGACATTGAAATTAATCCAGCTATTATTGAAAATATCCAACATAACATCCATGGAATACAAACATTTATTCCATTTTTTACTGCGTCACCACCAATAAATTTAGCGCTATAAATTGGTAATCCCGTGGTTATAAAACTATATAAATAACCAAATCTAAAAAATGACAAATATAAATTCAAATTATTTTTTTAGGCTTTAAATAAATTATTTAATACCCAAGTGAAGCAATTAGTAAGCTAATATAAGCTTTTGATTTGAGAATGATTTTCCATGGCGTAGTAAAAATTCTTAATGAATGAATACTCGCATCTTCTATAATTATGTATGGCATCTTGAATTGCATTATAGTCCAAATTATGACCCATCCCAACGCAAACGTACTCAATATATAGTAACTTAAACCATGAGACGTAATTGGTATAACTACTCCACTAAATAGATGACCACTAAATGCTCCAAAGATTGTTCCCGAAAACATAAACGTAGAATATAAAGTTCTATGTGCTTTAGGTATAATTTTTCCTGCTACTGTGCCACCACACGAAGCTACAGGACCAAATGAACATCTGCATAAATTATTATTAGATAAGATTTGTTGGCTAAATTATGAACAACTTTTTATATTGCATTTTTAAGTTGTATTCAAATTTTTTTTTTTTAATTATTTTTTTTTTTTTTTTTTTTTTT